ATTAATACTTTGATCAAAGGTTATTAGTATAAAATATATATATATATATATATATATATATATATGTATATATGTTGAATTCTGATTTGGGGTCCATAGGAAAGGAGCAACTCCTTTGATTGTCCAACAGGTACATTCCTAGGGGTTAAAGCAAAGAAACAGTGAAAGGATATGGTAATACAGATTGTCTCCTTTATGTCTTAAGGCAGGGCATTGGTTCCTTGGAAGGGAGGTGGAAGGATGCCATATCTTATACTGACGTGCCAATTTTCATAAACTCAAGGTTGGATTTGTGGGAAGGCTGTTTTCCCTTCAGGAGAAACACAATAGGAACAGGGATCCTTTGTTCAATTTGAAACATTGGATGAAACATAATTATTCAGTTATTGCTTCAACATCTGGCATTTCTACTGACCAAGTATATCTTAGCAAAGGCAATGTTATCTTGTTTATTGTGCTTTTCTCTTAGTTAATCACTATTTGCTAGGCCTCTGGTCTCTTGACCAAACTCTGGACTTTGGGTCTGGAAAAGAGCTGGCACAATCCATATACCAGGTTGTTATATAAAATGCACAAGGACTTTAACCCTTCAAGGATGATCTTTTTTATGCCATCTAAGCACTGAGCAGGGCCCCTGTGCCCTGACAGCAATGAATTGCACTGTTCCACTCTGGTACTCTCCTACCACTCCAGGCCATCTCTGCCCAACTATGCTTGGTTTATTTCCTTTGTGCTATGGAGTGAAGAAGGGACATCAAGGGGCAATGCAGAGATGCCAGTGTGAGGAAAATGATGTCCCACATTGCAAAGGGTCACTTTCCCTTATTGTTATGGAGAAAGTTCATTGTGGCAGTGGGACACAGGAGTCAGAAGCACCATGTGGTAGAAGTACATTAACCAAACTTCTCTGCCTCCAATTGCCAAACTCTTCCATGGGCATCTGATGTGCTTCCATCACACCCCTACTCCAGTTGCCAAAACTGTTCTCTCTGCCCATCCTCTGTCCTTCCCATTCTTCAGTGGCTTTGCTCTAGTCACCTATTCTGCTGAGGGAATGGTGACAAGACAGTGATGCAGCAAATGTTCCCCAGGTCCACTGCAGAACACTTAGCTGTAGATGGTTCTTCAACAGCTGAAAAATCTCTTGGAGTACCATTAATCAACAGCTACTACCTGCCCTATTAGAACTAGTTCAAAGGCCAAACTAGATGCAAAGGGGTCCTGTCACTGCAGTGACCACTCACAACTGAGCTGTCCTGCCTTCCACAGCATTTCAGCACTATGTTCAGTTAAGCTTGGTTAACTAGAGTTGTATAGTTTTTACGTTAATTTGTGGTGTTACTCATTTCTGAACCACCTGTCTCACTGATAATGACCTTAGTGAGAAGCATTGTGGCCATACTACTTCACAACATTATTGATGTGAATAGCAAGGACTCTTAGGCATGTACACAGCTAGGCCTCCTAGCTTGAGCAATCAAGTGAAATATTTTGTAAACTCATCAGTGCGGAGGTGGGGCCCTGAGATTACTTCCCATCTGGAATGGGTCATACTGAATGCAAAAGGTGCTAACTTATTCTATTCTTAAGAACAGTGCTGGTGGTGGAATCTCAGGGGGTTGAATTCAGGGGAGGCCAGATTTCAATTCCCCCTGAGAAACCAATGTTGGGGAAAATATGTTAGACCCAGGCAGTCTATTTTGCTATATGTAACCTTTGGAAAGGCAGTCTTCCCTCCTTTCACAGTTCCTGCTCATGTGGCTAAGCCCTTGCCTCCAGTAATGCACAAAGCCAAAGTGACCACTTTAAATATGCTTCTATTCTCAGCACCAACATCTACATGGCTGGCTTCTCATTTGCACTTTGCAAAAGCAACAGCCAACACACTAATAAAGTACTCCTATGTATTAGATTCAAGAGATAGGAAACCGATTACAAATGTGTTACAAGAGGGTTGCACATTTAATTGCTCCTGGAGGCTGAGCTCTAAGTGCATGCAGGTGTGGGGCGGAGGAGTGTGCGCTCTGGAGGGTCTGAAGGGGATTGGTGGGAGTTGAGGGAAAGGATATACAGCTTTACCTACATAAGCAATTAAGTGTGTGATGCTCTAGTTACTGCTGCCTGTGATGTATGTGGGCAGCAGCAGCAGAGGGTGCCAGAGCGCTTCCTCTGCCTGCAGTACCAAATAGACACTCTGTGGACTTGACTTGAAATCAGGCTTTTTTGGTTTTCACCCAAATCAATAGGATTTTGCCTATTAATGCTTGGAATTGATCAGATGTGGTTTTCAAAAGTTATCACCTTATAGACAAATGCCATTAAACAGAATGTAGGGCCTCAGTTTAGCTGGCTAATTAGTGATCATAGCAACACTGGCTCACAGACACTTCACCCAAAGGATGTTCTCTCAAGCTGATCTATACTTGGGTATTTATAGCACCTCTCACTGCAAACCATTTACAAAGCCAGTCCAGAATCCTCCTTTTCAGAATAAATCCAGAGCACTCCCCACTGGCAAGAGAAGCTCCAGTGATATGATGGGCTCCTTAAAGTCCAGTGCTTTTAGTTTTAATTTCTAAGAAGAGGGGATTCTCAGCAGGAATGCTGGGGTCATCATGTTCCCCTCTCTCTGTCCTGGAGAGAAATGGTTGGGAACCACAGGGAAGTGCTGAGACAGGGCTCCTTTTTAATTCTGTTTCCTGATGTATGCAAGGACTGTTGTTTTTGAGTTCTTGAGTTTAATACTTCCCCCTTTGCTGGAAAAGAAGGAAGCCAGTTTATATAATGGAGTGAGTGTGACTGTTTCTCCCTATGTTCATTAATTGCTCCCAGTGAAATCTCCTTCCAATCTGACTGCTTTGCATTGTGGTGCCTCTGATTTGCCAAATCCCTTGCATGGAAATGGAATGTGAAACTACTGCACAACTGTCATACAGCTGATAAATCCACTGTAGGGAAACCTTTACTACTTTAGACCATCTAGGTTTACAAACTGAGGCTGAATTAGACTTCTGGATTTTCCTGGATAAACTAGGCTGGTAAAATGCCTTTCTCCATGGACCCAAAGTTGCAACTGCAAGGAGATTTTTTCCATGGATTTTATATGAAGTCTACTAATACTATTCCAATAGGTCAACCCATCCACGTCAGCAGTCCAGGAAAAGCAAGGGCTACTCAACTGCTCCAGTTCTCATGAAGTAAGAATCTCACATGCCCCACCAACAAAGGAGATTTCAATAAGTGCCTGAAGACATTACGTGGAAGTGCTTTGCTAGGTACCGACAACTTCTTTCTGTTGGCTCCCACCCTGCCACGTCTATAATCTGTAAACTGGGGTAAAATTGTACAAAAGAAATGGTGTGGACACCATCACCAAACATGCTGCATGCATGCACATACACACCTGAGTCCTATAGATCCCCAACCCTAACAACTCCCACAACAAATCTGCTGGCAAGTTCCTAATCAGTGAATAGAACAGTGTCAGCTTCACTCTTTTTTGTATTTTATTTTCTCCCTTCAATCATAATTATGTGGTATCCAAACTTCGTTTTGACAGGAGGGTCTGTGTACACTGGCTTATCCATACTGCTGACAGCCAAGGCGAATGCTGCTTCCTGGAAAGGTCCCACCATAGAACCTCTGGTCATCCAGCCCAAGTCTCCCTGAAAGAGAGCCAACAAAAATGGCCAGGTCTGAAAAACCCATTTCAAAACATGCCCAGAGCTGCATTGTGAGACAGAGTGGCTAACATTTCTATAAAGCAGAGAGAAAAATCCAACAAACAGGGGTTTTAAGAACAAATGACCTTTTTCCATTCAGTGCTTGGAACCTTAAACTTTGCAGCTGTCTACTACTGCACAGATGTGCGTGGAATGACAGTATCATCAGATACTATGGCAATGTGCGCAGTATAAAATCCTATATAAAACAGAGCATAAGAATGGCCAAACTGAGTCAGACCAATGGTCCATCTAGCCCAGCATCCTGTCTTCCAACAGTGGCCAATGTCAGATGCTTCAAAGGAAATGAACAGAACAGGGCAATTATCAACGATCCATCCCGTCATCCAGTCCCAGCATCAAAGTCTTAGGGACACCTACAGAATGGGTGCATCCCTGGTCATCTTGGCTAATAGCCAGTGATGGACCTATGCTCCATGAACTTATCTAGTTATTTTTTTAAATTTAGTTATGGTCTTCACCACATCCCCTGGCAACAAGTGGCACAGGTTGACTGTGCAGTGTGTCAAGAAGTACTTCCTTTTGTTTTAAACCTGCTACCTGTTAATTTCATAGGGGACCCTGCTTCTTAAGTGAAGGGGCATTTAATACTTCCTTACTCACTTTCTCCATACCATTTATGATTTTATAGGCCTTTATCATATCCCCCCCCCCTAATTATCTCTTTACTCCTGGGGGAATTCTGTGTCAAAGTATTAAAAATTCTGCACCAAAGAAATTAAAATTCTGCACATTTTGTCAAAATAATGCAATATAATCATGCCAGTTTCAATTATTTTGGTGATTTATTTAAACTACAATACAATGGGTGGAGAATGGGAGTGGGGAGCACTGGAGGAAATCCCCAAACCCCCTTTGTCTGATAGTAATGTAGACAGGTTTGACCCTTTATTTCTAGTTATTAGTCAACAAATATATGCAGCCATATGGTCAGTGTTGCATCATAGGCAACTGAAGAGCAAGTGAGGACTGGGGAATGAAACTCACAATTTATATTGGCTACTGACCATCTCCAGGAAGGTAAGTACCAAACAGTTAATGGAGCACGTTTTGATAGGAATTTTTTTCAGTCCAAAAATTTAGACCAGTTCTAGTCACTAAAGCACCATAAGACTTTATAAGGCCATGCTGTCCTTTACACCACTCTGGCAATGTAAAGGAGCCTTAAAACTTTTACACCTGTTTTATACTCCTGGGGGAATTCACAAAGACATTGAGAACAATTCACTAAGCAGGCAGGCTGCTACATTCTGTTCTGCCCCATGCCCACCTCCTCAGAAACACCACAGCCAAAACTCTCCACAGCGAACGTGCCGCAATAGCGAGCAAGAAGGACAGTGTCTCTCTCCCTCTCACATGCATGACTGCCCAGCCTTCCGACCCCATCCCAGTGGTTATTTACGTCTCTACTGGCTGCTCTGGGCGCCCGAACCAACCTGCCTACGCTGCCAGGGAAGGGTACATGACCGCTCTTGTGGGCTTCCCTTTGTTTCCGCATCAGAAGTCATTTTTCTGCGGGGAAGCAAAGAAATCCGCAGGGAACATGAGTTCTGCACATGCGCAGCGTGCAAAATTCCCCCAGGAGTATCTCTTTTCCAAGCTGTACAGTATCTTTTTAATCTCTCTTCATATGAAAGCTGTTTCATACCCTTAATCATATTTGTTGTTTGGACCTTTTCCATTTCTAATTATCTTTTTTGAGATACGGTGACCAGGATTGCATGCAGTATTCAAGGTGTAGGCGTACCATGGATTTATATTGTGGTATTATGATATTTACTATCTTATTATTTATCCCTTTCCTAAGGGGTCCTACATTGTTAGCTTTTTTGACTGCTGCTGCATATCAAGCGAATGTTTTCAGAAAACTATCCACGACTCCAAGATGCCTTCCTTGAGTAGTAACAGCTTATTTAACCCCATCAAAAACATTTCCTGAATCTTTGTTGTCTGTATTGTTAGAATACAGAGGGGTAGCCGTGTTAGTCTGTATCCACAAAAACAACGAGGAGTCCGGGTGGAATTCTTCAAGGGCCTCCTTCCCGTGGGGCCATATGATGAAGATGTCATCAATGTAGCATAAGCAGAGGAGGGGTACTAGGGGACAAGAACTGAGGAAGTTCTAAGTCAGCCATAAAAACATCTTGGGGACTCTCTTTCTGCCCCACCACCCCCACTCACATGATACATTTCTGCGGTGATCTGGAAGCCTACTTCCACCATCTCCGACTCAAAGAATATTTTCAATACACCACTGAACAGAGCACTGACCTACAGGAACCGTCTTACCAACACTACAAGAAGAAGAATTCTGCGTGGACTTATCCTGGTGGTCAAAATGACAGACTGGACTTCTACATAGAGTGCTTCTGCAGATGTGCACAGGCTGAAATTGTAAACAAACAGCATTACTTGCCCCATAACCTCAGCTGTACAGAACGCAATGCCATCCACAGCCTCAGAAACATCTCTGACATTATAATCAAAGTGGATGACAAAGGAGGTGCTGTAGTCATCATGAACAGGTCGGATTATGAACAGGAGGCTGCCAGACAACTCTCCAAAACCACATTCTACAGGCCACTATCCTCCGATCCCACTGAGGAGTACCAAAAGAAACACCATCTGCTCAAGAAACTCTCTGCTACAGCATGGGAACAAATCTACACAAATACACCCCTAGAGCCCCAACCAGGGGTATTCTATCTACTACCCAAGATCCATAACCCTGGAAATCCTGGATGCCCCATCATCTCAGGCATTGGCCCTCTTACAGCTGGATTATCTGGCTATTTGGACTCTCTCCTCAGACCCTACACTACCAGCACTCCTAGCTATCTTCGAGACACCACTGACTTCCTGAGGAAACTACAATGCATTGGTGATCTTCCTGAAAACACCATCCTGGCCACCATGGATGCAGAAGCTCTTTACACCAATATTCCACACAAGGATGGACTACAAGCTATCAGGAACAGTATCCCTGATGAGGCCACGGCACACCTGGTGGCTGAACTTTGTGACTTTGTTCTCACCCACAAACATTTCAGATTTGGGGACAACTTGTATCTTCAAGTCAGTGGCACTGCTATGGGTACCCATATGGCCCCACAGTATGCCAACATTCTTATGGTTGACTTAGAACAATGCTTCCTCAGCTCTAGTCCCCTAGCGCCCCATCTCTACTTTTGCTACATTGATGACATCTTCATCATATGAATCCACGGGAAGGAGGCCCTTGAAAAATTCCACCAGGATTTCAACAATTTCCACCCCACCATCAACCTCAGCCTGGACCAGGCCACTCAAGAGATCTACTTCCTGGACACTACAGTGCAAATAAGTGATTGTCACATAAACACCACCCTATACCGGAAACCTACTGACCGCTATACTTACCTACATGCCTCCAGCTTCCATCCAGGACACATCACACAATACATTGTCTACAGCCAAGCCCTAAGATACAACTGCATTTGCTCCAATTCCTCAGACAGAGACAAAGACCTACAAGATCTCTATCAAGCATTCTTAAAACTACAATACCCACCTGGGGAAGTGAGGAAACAGATTGACAGAGCGAGACGGGTACCCAGAAGTCACCTACTACAGCACAGGCCCAACAAGGAAAATAAGAGAACACCACTGGCCATCACGTACAGCCCCCAGCTAAAACCTCTCCAGCGCATATCAACGATCTATTCTGGAAAACAATCCCCCACTCTCACAGGCCTTGGGAGGCAGGCCAATCCTCGCTTACAGACAGCCCCTCAACCTGAAGCAAATACTCACCAGTAACTACACACCACACCACACAAACACTAACCCAGGAACCAATTCCTGTAACAAACCCCCTTAGCCTTCTCTGTCCCCATATCTACTCTAGCAACACCATCATAGGACCCAACCACACCAGCCACACAATCAGAAGCTCATTCACCTGCACATCTACTAATGTGATATATGCCATCATGTGCCAGCAATGCCCCTCTGCCATGTACATTGGCCAAACCGGACAGTCTCTATGTAAAAGGATAAATGGACACAAATCAGACATCAGGAATGGTAGAAAGCCAGTAGGAGAACACTTCAGTCTCCCTGGACACACAACAACAGATTTAAAAGTAGCCATTAAACAAAAAAAACTTCAAAAACAGACTTCAAAGAGAAACTGCTGAGCTACAATTCATTTGCAAACTTAATGCCATCAATTTGGACTTGAATAGGGATTGGAAATGGCTGGCTCACTACAAAAGCGGTTTTCCCTCTCTTAGTATTGACACCTCCTCATTAATTACTGGGAGTGGACAACATCCACCCTGATTAAATTGGCCTTCAACATTGGTTCTCCACTTCTACGGTAACTCCCTTCTCTTCATGTGCCAATATATATTTATTCCTGTATCTGTAATTTTCACTCCATGCATCTGAAAAGTGGGGTTTTTTTACCCACGAAAGCTTATGCCCAAATAAATGTTAGTCTTTAAGGTGCCACCGGACTCCTCATTGTTTTCGTGTATTGCTAGACATACTTGCTGACAGGTATTTTGAAATAAATTACTAAAATAATTGAAACTGGTGTGATTATATTGTGTTATTTTGACAAATAAAATATGCAGAATTTTAAAATGTGAGCTGAATTTTAATTTTTTTGGTGATGAATTCCCCTAGAAGTAAAGAGCTAGAGATAGTGTTCTGTCAAGGGGGTCTGGCTATGGATTGAGTTTCCTGAGAGGATCAGATTAATGTGAAGTCGAAGTACTTTGAGTGCATACTGTAACACCCTCCTCTGTGACAGAGCATTTCCCTGCAAAACTAGATTGATGGGGCAGGTGGAGAAATATGGCCCACGCAAAGACTTTTATTTCAAGGAAGGGGGAAGAGCAGGAGATCCAAGAAGTCAATAAGAGACTTCTTCCGCCTTCCTCCGCAGCATGGGGCAGGGGTCGCTTGCTGGAGGATTCTCTGCGACTTGAAGTCTTTAAATCATGATTTGGGGACTTCAAACAGCTGAGTCAAGGGAGAGAATTATTCCAGGAGTGGGTGGGTCAGCTTTTGTGGCCTGCATCATGCGGGAGGTCAGACTAGATGATCATAATGGTCCCTTCTGACCTTAAAGTCTATGAGACTTTCCAATGCAATCTCATTTATCTGCTAAGTGCTATGACACCACTGATAAGTACTAGGGAACTTGGTAGATTTCCCAGAATCCCAGTCTCCTGCTAACGACTAGATGAGGGTGGCCAAACTTACTGACCCTCTTCAGAAGTTCAAGAGCTGGGCGTGCCTGCTGGTGCTCAGGGCTTCAGCCCCAGCAGGCTCCTCCTGTAAGGCTGAAGCCCCAAGACCTCCCCCTGCCCCCCAGTAGGGCAGAAGCCTCTAGCCCCACAACTCTGCCACAGGCAGAAGCCCTGAGCTCCCCCTGCCCCAGTCTGGTAGGTGGAGAATGGAGGGAGTGGGTGTGGGTGGGGAGGCTTCGCAAGCCACACTTTAACTGTAAAAAAGCCACATGTGGCTCACGTGCCGCAGTGTGGCCACCTCTATACTAGCCAATAGTGCCTCCCTGACATCAGGTAGTCCACCTAAGAGCTGTCAGCACAAGCCTGACAATCAGTGATATGTACCCCTTGTCTGGCTTTATCTTCACTGTACTGTGAGGCTACTTCACTGAAGCGCACTCCAGACTTCAGCTTCTCCATGGCCTCCATGATTTTGCTGTGCTTTTCACATAGGATGTGTCTAACCTAGAATGCAAAAACAGAGGGAAGTTACATTTTGGGGGCTTGGCTCCCTACAAAACAGTCATTTTATTGCAGTTAACTGAATAGGTTCCCGTCAGCGTGTTTCTCAACACAGTAAAACTGAGTCCATTGGAGGGCTTCCCACCTCCACCCCAGGACATTCCGTTCAATTGCTGTCCCAAACAGCAGCCAGAGCAGAGCGGATGAGTCCTCTGCCCAGCATGCCTCCTGCTGCTGCAAGTGGCATACCAGCTTGGCAGTGGCCCAGTCCCAAGCACTGCACCCAGTCCCAGAGACAGACTGCACTTAGCAGCTGCCTCTGAGAGGCACCTTCATCCCTCTGGATCTTACTGAGCAGTCAAGGGTTGCTGCCATGTGGGCCGGAACACACCCCTCAACTCCGGAGCCAGACCAAACTCCAGCCCCTGGCTGGGCACACACAAACTGTGGTATCCTTCATAGCTGGCCTTGTGCCACCTGTGCACACCACGTGCTTGGCTGAAGGTGGCAGCTGGGAAGATGAGCCTATAGCCCTGCTACCCCTCCATGTCCACACTCACCTTCACAGAGCTACCCCCACCCTTCGGGGCCGGGGCCTGCCTCTCAGCACTGCCCCCGCCGCCAGCAGCTCCTCCTTAGGAACAAACCAGACCATCGTTAACAGGGCTTGGCTCCTGGGGTGGCACCATGGTCTGCCACAGACCAGGGCCAGCCTGGAGAGGACACAGACTGTCCTGGGCTGGGGGAATGGACTATGGTCACCCCATCAAGGCAACTGCCCATCTTCCTCTATCCCTCCCCTGGCCCAGGGCGCTACAGCCTACCCACCCATCCCTCCTTCCTCCGACCCGGGGCGCTACAGCCCGCCCACCCATCCATCCCCCCTTCTCCGACCCGGGGCGCTACAGCCCGCCCATTCATACGTCACCCCTTCCCCGACCCGGGGCGCTACAGCCCGCCCGCGCGCCCACCCTTGCTCCGACACGGGGCGCTACAACCCCCCCCCTTCCTCCAACCCGGGGCGCACCATCCCCCCTTCTCCGACCCAGGGCGCTACAGCCCGCCCACCCATCCATCTCCCCTTCTCCGACCCAGGGCGCTACAGCCCGCCCATCCATACATCCCCCCTTGCTCCGACCCGGGGCGCTACAGCCCGCCCGCCCGCGCACCCATCCCTCCCTCCTTCCCCGACCCAGGGCACTACAGCCCGCCTGCCCTCACCCTTCCCACTTTTGCCGCCGCTTTTCCCTTTGGGGGGCATCTCCTCAGCCAGGAGTCGCGCACGTGACGCCGCTGAGAGCTAGAGGGCCCCGCTCAGGACCCAGCCGGCGGCCTAGCGCGGCGCACCCCGAGCCCGGGCTGTCCGCGCTAAATGCCTGGCGGGGACACGGCGGCTCGCCTCGTGGCCCGCTGGGAACGGCCGCTTGCCGGCTGGGAGTGGGGATCCCGGCACAGACCCCCCGCCCTCAGCGCGGGGAGCGCCCGCGGAGGCCCCCGCCCGCTGCCCCCCATGGGACTCGATTCCGGCCAGCGCCCTTCCCCGCTCTGCCCCCCCCATGGGACTGGGCCCGGCCCCCCACAATGGGCTGTTGCAACGCTTGGATTGAAGTGGTTCAATGGCTCTCACTGCCCAACTGTACAGATTATCTGGGCAGGGTGATGAGACAATGAGAAGAAAATGTTTCCTGATCTCTTGTATGGCGTTGTATTGTATCCTGAGTCTGCGCCTTGCCAGTCCTCTAACGCCTGAGTGCCTCAACTCATTAGGAGGCTGTAGAGCACTTAACGCACATCTAGGTGTTCTAGAAATAAAAACAATAAGCATGACTAGTGTGGTGTTTAGATGCTGCATGTGATTATTAGAACTGGGAGCACTGGCTGTTGGGAGTCTGAAAGGACAGGAAGGAGGGGGGAGGAGTTGAGGCTGAGTGAGAGTTACAGAGGCTGCAACTGCAGCAGCTTGGTAAAGAGGTTTCCACTGTAAAAATAAAAGTCCTGTTGAAGTTTGTTAGTACCTTGCCTGGTTGATACAACAACTAACATATTTTATAACAAGTGATTCCTTATATAATCATTCCTCTTCCTCACCTTGGGAGAACTGTATTTTGTCAAGCTTTACTTTTCAATAACTAAAAAAATAATCTTAAGCATTCACATTTTTATCACACTTACTACAAGGGCACCTTACAATCTCAGGGAGATTCTTTATATTTACCTGCCTTTTTCCCTTCTTTACTTCCTTTTTTTTAAATTTAGAGACTTGTTTGCCATGTTGCAACATGTGTACCGCACCTGTAAAGGATGTGCTATTGGGTAAAATTATTGCCATGCTTTCACTATTGATATCTTGCTTCTAGGTGCTGCTGAGGGAAGGAGAGAAAGCAGCTATGTAACTATCTAGGTATGTAGTGGTGTATATAGGGGACTTTCAGTGAGTGGAATTTCTGCTCAGCTCACCTGACTCCTGAAATGGAGGCCTTATCTGTCTATCTTCCCATGGACATTCCTGCTGATTTGTCCCTATCTCAGAACCCCACTCTGTGTCTGGTGGATTATTTTTAGCGAGGCTGACCAGAACTGAAGGGAGTATTCCAGCTGAGGCCATTCCACTAGTGTACATGGAATGGCATTAGAACATTCTCAGTACTTTGTCCCATTATTTGATATAATATACCAACATTTTGTTTGCCTTTGTGACTGCTGGTGCGCGTTGAGCAGAATTCTGAACTGAACTGCCCACAGTGACTCCCAGCTCATTTCTCTGAATGGTCAGTCAATGTAGCTCTCAGAATCGTTGATGCATAGTTCAAATGATTCCTTCTGCCTTGCATCTGTTGCTATTGAACTTCATCTGCCAGTGCTTCCAATTCTCCTACCTTGGATAGATCCATCTGAAGTTCCTCTGAGTCTTCTCCAGTCTTGACTAATCTAAATAATTATGTCAACTGCAAATGTGGCCACCTCCCCATTCTCTCCTTTTCCCAGATCCCTGTTTCTGGGTGGCTCAGACTGACAATGAAATGCACATTCTCCTATTCCATACAGTTCCGATTTATCACACTAGAGCTGACTTTACACTACTCTTCACAACTCCAGAACCTTAGGGCCCCAGTCTGAGCCTTTTGCCATGTTGAAAATCCATCATTTATTCATAGAATCATAGAATATTAGGATTGGAAGAGACCTCAGGAGGTCATCTAGTCCAATCCCCAGCTCAAAGCAGGACCAACACTAACTAAATCATCCCAGCCAGGGCTTTGTCAAGCCAAGCCTTAAAAATCTTTAAGGATGGAGATTACACCACCTATTCTTATTCTTTTGTTTCTTGGTCAATTTCTGATCCAGACAGAACTTTGCCTCTCACCCCAGATTGCTTAGTTTCCTTCATAGCTTCTTCTGAGGGACGTTGCTTCAGGCTTTTTGAAAACTCCAAGTGAATTATGTCAACTGGTTCTTCATCTACTCGTTTGTTGATAAAACCTCCACTAATCCAGTGGGAAGAGTGAAAATTGTAGCACAGTGGTCAGAAAATGCCCAAACAAAAGTTGCTATAGCAATAAACCCAGGGTTGTGAGTTCAATCCTTGAGGGGGCCATTTAGGGATCTGAGGCAAAAATCCATCTGGGGATTGGTCCTGCTTTGAGCAGGGGGTTGGACTAGATGACCTCCTGAGGTCCCTTCCAACCCTGACATTCTATGATTCTATGATATTAACGCAGCCAGATTGTACCTAATGGAAACTAATTTAGAGCATATATAGCATTCTAACCAATCATATAAAATGCTCCCTCTGTAGGAAGTGGTTGGGTTCCTGTTGCCTGGAAAAAAAACCCACCTTTACTTTTCCTGATTGTTCTATGTATGTATGTATTTTTTGAGTTGGGCAGCCTTGGAGTTGCACTGAGCTAGATGTTTGCACTTCTGTTTCTTGGAGTTTTAAAAGCCTGGGGGGGGGAAAAAAAAGCTGCATTCCCAGCTATGACCCTGTGGAGTTGTGCAGTGAAAAGACAGCTCTAGGCTGATCTATCTGTACAGAGTAGGAGAACACATATTAGGGAAAGGGAAAAAACATTTTTAGTAGTTATTGGTTAGCGATTTCCCAGGAAAGACACAAATGAGAGGAAGCCTAAAGACTGATTGAATCTGAACCTCTGAATTGGTGTGAGGAAGGGACCCTGCTGTCTCCTAGAGCTGCCCCTCATGATCCTCTCTCCTCTTCCCTCCCATCCCAGCAGCACCTCATAAAGTGCTTGATCATCTCCTCACCTCACTGAGGTCAGCCTATGTCCCAGTTTTGCCCAGCTGGGTCTCTGAGACGTTCCCAATGTCCTTGGCCAGATGCTGATGGGCCAGGCTGGCTGCTGCTCCCAGCTCTGATCTCACTGTGGGAGGCCAGAGGGGCTGCTCTCAGAGACAGCAGGGTCGTGTCCTCTGTTCACACCAATTCCCAGGCTCGGATTCAATGGGTCTTTACGTTTCCCCTGCTGTTGGGTCATTCATGGGAAAGGTGCTGCTGACTCTTGCACTTTTCCTCTCTGCTCCTACCCCTTGCCTTCTAGTCACCCTCTGCAGTGTCCCTGTATCTCCTCCCAGCAGATGTTTCCAGCTGCCACTGAACTCTCTGGTCTAGATGCCACTTATGGTTGTGCTGGCTAGGGGAATGTAAGCCCAGTGATTAAATAGGCAACAAGTCCCCTCCCCAGTATATCTGCTATCTTGAGCAACACATGAGAAGCGAGGGCTCTGTGTTGCCAAATGCCAGGACACTCACTGGCGAGCAAGGAAGGGCAATTCCTGAGGTAAATGGAAAAACGCCCACTGGCTTAAATGGGGTCGGGACTTCAAAGAGCATCTCCATAGGAGTCAGTAGCTTCAGCTCAGGCTCCCAGTCATAGTTGAGCAGGTCTGATTCTGTCCAGCAGAGGGCAGCATGTACCTGCACACACCAGCCTCTTCAGCCACACTGCCTAGAACAGCTGTCCCGCAACGGTGGGGTGCGCCTCCCCTAAGCCGGGGGGGGGGCAGAGGGACATTTTGGGGGCTCACAGGTGGGCTGGGCCAGCCCCCCCAAAGGGTGCGGAGGAAGATCCCCCTCACTCCACCCTGAGCCCAGCTCTGCCCTTATTCCTCTCCGCCCCCAGGCCAGTTACTCCCTCATCCCCAGTTCAGCCCCCAGCTCCAGCTCCTCTGCTGAGCCAACTATGCAGTAATGAGGGGTGGGGGGTGGTTTGTGGACAGATTCCATTACTGGACCAACAGGAAAAGTTTGGGCACCACTGCCCGAGAAGCAGGGTGGCTCGTACTCCCTGCCCCTGGAGCCCCAGCTTGCTGCCGACAGTATGTGGCTAACCACTGGAAGCTCAAGGGTGGCGGGGTGGGCAGGGTGGGGCAGGGGAGAATCTGCCACAGGGTCACTGCTTACTCTGGGTCTCCCAGGAGGCAGCCAGTTCAGTGCACTTGGGGGCTGCTCTTGCCCATCAGAGGTGATGGAAGTCTCTCCCAGTGGCAGCGGTGCTGCTCCCCCCAGGCAGTGCATGGGATGGGTTCCTAACCCAGCAGGCCTGGCCTCCACAGACATAGCTCTGTCCTGCCCCAGGCCATACCAGCATGCCCAGGACCTACCCCGTGTGGGCCGTTATAGATGCGTAATCAGATTGGACTCCTATGATGTGTCAGGTGCATGCAGGGCCGCCGAGAGCGGGTTTGGGCCCCGGTGAAAATTTTTTTTCGGGCCCCCCAGCAAGGGCGGACTGGCCGGGCCCCATTCCGGACCGCCAGGCCCCGGTAATTTGTAGGCCCTGGGTGCATGCAGGATGCCTAACTTGGCTACTGACTCACTAAGGCTGTGTGTACATAGCAATGTAAGTCTAAGGTTAGTGGGACTTGGGTCAGCTGACCCATGTCAGGGAATCCTGGGCTGGAGTGTCTACACTGGCTTTTAACCCTAGATTAAGAATTTCCTGACCCATGCTTGAACCTAGGGTCTGGCAGCCACACTGCAGTGCACATACCCCGGGCAAAGCAACCATATCCCAGCATGCCTAGTGCTCACCCCTCCCCGCATTGACACTCTAGGCCTAGGAACGTGGTGCACTGTGGGAAAACTCTACTGTCTATGTTCATGGGCCAGCTGGGCCACTATTCCCACCAAATGCCATTGAAATAAATGGTGTTATGAGCTGGGGGGGCGGGGGAGAAGATGGCTCATTTTTGGCAGGAGGGCAGTGCTGGGGGGAGGAGGGGAGTGGGTCTTGAGTGCCATGTAGTGTAAGACAGAATGACATGATGGAAAATAAATGTATGGTTGGGGGTGGGGTGGAGGGGGGCACAATGGCTTTACAAAATGGCTCAAGCTTATCGGTTTGCACTGAAACCCTGGAGGCTCTGAGTGTGCGTGTGCCAACCACAGCTCACCCCCACTGCAGAGGAATGCCCCGAGTGGGACATACACTGCATCAGAAACACCGCATCTGACTAATGTCCTGTAGCCTGGCCCAGCTGGACATTGGTGCAGAAGCAGCCCCTAGTGTGCCTTCTGACTCCCACTTTACTGACAAGTCTCCTGAAGCAGCAACATGGTTGACCCATGGGTCTGCCTAATAATCAAGGTCTTCAGTGCTTGGCACTCCCCCCCAGGAGCCCCAGAACTAGCTACTTCCTTCCTGCTCCACTCTGCCCAGGATGTGTGGCCCCAGCCCACATGACACAGCTGGGGGATCGCTGCACTCCTTCTAAAGATCCCGTCCCTTAAACACACACCCAGCCTGGCTGCTGCCAGCTGCGGAGTGGTGAAGTGCACCCCCAAGGATTGGGGTGCAGTGTGCTCCAGCACCTCTGCCCCACTCTCTTATCCCTGCCCCCACTGCACCCCAGGAGGTTGCAAGGAAGTTTTGGGGCTAGCGCCTGGCAACTTTGATCCCTGCTCCAGGCAAACTCCAGGCAACAGCGAGTTGGAGCAGGAAGGGAGAGCAGGCTCAGCCAGGCAGCAATGGCACTTCTGGCCGCTGCGTTGGCTGCCTGCAGTGCACTCTGCCCCCAGGAGCTGTGGGATACATCCGGACGACACCCGGGATCTGAGTCAAGCCAGGGCTGTGCGCACAGGAAAGCACTAGGGCTCAGACCCTAGGTCCCAGCTTAACTCAGGCTCAGTCCCTCCAGCCCTACAGGGACCTGGGACCGAGGCCTAGGTTAGCACAATTACAGCACAGATGCAAGGGGGGATTTGCCTTGAGCTCAGGCTCAGAACTGGGCTTACCTGGCTGTGCAGACATACCCTAAGTGGTCTTGGCCAAGCTGCTTTACCTCGCTGGATCTGTTTCTCCATCTGTAAAATGGAGCTAATGACACCAGCTTTGGAAAGCTCTGTGAGGTCTTTTGGCTGGACAGTGCTAGCTAAGTGCACACTATAACTGCTTTTACACACACACACACACACACACACACACACACACACACACACACACACACACACACACACACACACACACACACACACACACACACACACACCATAGTTTACACTTCACACAAGTGCACCTGACAAGGCTTGGGATAGGAACTGTGTAGTCAATAGGGTTTTAATATTTCCACTGGGTTTAAAATGTCTGAACCCCCTCTACCCTGCCCTCTCAGAGCTCGACTCTAGGACCTTTGCATGCAAGGGCTCTGAGGAAGAAAAGCACACACACAGCCAGTGGATCTGACAGTTATTGGAGTTTACCAAGCTTGCAATAGTTAAAAAGTACAACATTCAGAAATATAAAAATGTGGTTTCCCCATCTCTGAGGGCTGTCGGGGGCAGGGATTGGGCTGACATTGCAAAAGAGGCCACTTACGCGGGGGGTGGGGGGAAGAGGAGAGGAGAGGGGAGGAAATGTTTGCATAACACACAAAAATAGTTCACATTCTTTCATCTCGCCCATGGCTGGCCCACTTAGGACAAACAAGTCCTATATATCTATAGGGCTTACTTCAGTCTTTGCTGCACAGAACCAGTCTGAGAATTTCATCTTAAGTTCAGTTGGGTGGTACATAAGGAAACCCATCCCTAGCAATCCAATTAATTCCCTGTAGTGCTCCAGATCTGCAGTGACAGTTCTATCCTAGGTGCAGATGTTGAACTTGGCAAAACAAGAGCCGCGTTCTCTGTTAAAGCATTGTGTGGGGGATGCCCTGGCCCCACTGAAGTCTAGGGCAGACCTCCCAGTGACTTCACAAGAGCCAGGATTTCACCCACAGGTTTTTAAGGCTGGGATGTGGTGATTCAAACTTTTATTTTTTTGTTTTAAAAAAAGTGAGTTTTTGATAGTGAAGAAAATCCAGGGAAGATTCTTTTTCTGAAGCAGCTATTTTCATTAGAATCGCTTTGCAAAGTCCCTTTCTCGCAGGACATTTACAATCCAAGTGCTAAAAATCACACCTCAGTCACGTCATACAAAGTCATTGCTAACTGCTGTGTGTAGCATCTTTTTCCTGAGCAATCGTGTGCAATACTGTACATGGTTATTGGCATTTTTTCTTGGACATAAATTCCAGCAGTAGCTTCTCTTTAACTTTATGCAACTAAACATGTTATTTGTTAAGCATTCAGATTTTACCCTGCAATATGCAACACTTCCCTAAGGACATGTTGCTTCTACTAAGGCTTACGTTTCTGCCTGGCCAAAAGCCAATTGAGGAATAAATGTCTATGGAAATGCTGAGGCATCTATGAAGCTCATTGTATAACAACTTTGCACAAACTGTTCGAGTTGTTCAAGGACTGGAACCCAGGTGGTGCTGGTTTTCGCAGCCACAAATCCAGGTACTGGAACCGAGCAGGAATATCAGATGACCTCAGACTACATTCTAATTGGTCAACAGCATGTTAATAGGGCGAAGGAATCATTTTTCATTTGTTCCACTGACCGAGTGAGGGGACGCTGGCAGCAGACGGGCTATGGCACATTCCCAGGTGGGTAGCAGTTCCAAGAGAAATCTGGGTTCTCATCTCACCTGTTCTTCCTACGCCAGACACCATTTCGGAGGTCCTGTTTGGGCAAAACCAAAATAAAATTGGGGCCTTAATTGGGGGCAGACATGGGCCTCAGCAGGATGCTGATCTGCTGCCAAAATCCTGCAAAATGCCACAGTTCAGTGCATGAAATTGAAATGAAGAGCAGCGATTCTAAACTCTGCCCTGGAGGAGCCATCTGGCAAATCTAACAGGAAGCTCCAGTGCTGTCTCTTTTGCCTTCCTTTTAAGGTGGAGATATTAGGCATAGACCAATTGCTGGGCCACATTTCAAGCCCCAACCCATGATGCTTGGACCCAGTCAACACAAATGAGACCAGGTAAATAAGCCAGCTCCTTGGCACTGGAGTCAGCAACCATGTGAACAGCAGGAGCCCATGCCATGGTGACAGACCCAGCTGACTGATGTGTGTGTAGTGACTCTTCGCCTGCCTTCTCAACATGGCTGTGATTACACGTGGCACTTTATAACCTTGAGGCAGGTGCGCTTATTCAACAGAGCACAGTGATTGGCTTGCCTCGCTTCATGTGACGTAAGCAACTTTGTGAGTCACATTCCATGTCTCAGATACACAGGGGACAGAGATGGGAAAGTCCTTCTGGGCCACTGAATCCATCTCCAGGAACATGTGGGATGTGAACTCCAGAGAGAGGAGGTCTGCGATGGGAGACAGATACTACCATGCAGCTGGGAGAATCTTCAGCCTCAGCGGCATCTGAAGTCTTTCTACTGGAGACAGCAGGTTGAAGACTATTGGTGGCAGAGGCAGAAGAAACAACAGTGAAGCTTAGAAATTTTTATGATCTATTTTTCCTGAGTTTCTCAGTCTGGATGTTAATTACAGGCTGAAATTCTGCAATTCCATGACAATGGAAGGAATAACATGTAATTAAAGAGAACAGAACTGGCAGCATGAAGAGCTGAGCCTCCTTTAGAGCAAAGTACAAAGTCATCTTGGTAAAAATGGGCCAGCAATGCTTCCCCTGGGATAAAGACAGAGCGAGGTGTCAACACAAGAAAGCCTGGTGCTTCTCCAGCAGGACTTCCCTGCCGAGGGAGAAGAGCTGGCTCTCTGCTCTGGGTGAGCTGCGTTCCCAGGAAAGCAGTGGAGGTTCTAAGACAGGGTCTAAGAGTATAATTTTGCTCTACAGACTGGTCCTCCAAAGATAACTGTCTAGTGCTGCTTCAGTCAAATCAGAGTGGGGAGGAAACTGTCCAACACCAAATGCAAGACACCCAGGTTTTGTCAGGTCTCATCTGGAACAGGGGCACCCCCCCACACTCGTCCCGGAATCCAGTTCAGGTTCTGCTACAGCCACTCACGTGGGTTATTCCCTTCCCCAGAATGATGGGTCAGGCACCAATCCTCTGTCTGCACCCCCAGGGCTCAGAACCAGCCGCAGGCGTAGGCCATGTGAGTGCCCGCCAGGAGCACTGCAAAGATAGACACCATCACCATGCTGTGTGGACCCCTCAGCTTGCAGGGGACTGGAACTTGTAAGATGCAGTGGGGCTGTTGCTGGGGATTGGAGCTCAGAACTCTTGCCAGTGCTGGATTCAGCAGCCTATTCACCTGAGAGTGGCAGTGAAAACTGAGCCTGATCACAGCCCCACCCCCATGTCATCTTCCCAGGCTGCAGGAACCCACCTGTTGCTAAGGACACATGGCCTGCCATTTTCACAGCCTGACTCCCCCACTTCCTCCCTGCTGAATGGGCACAATCCCAGCTCCCCCTGCACTGAGTTTGGAGCCTGTTTTCCTGACAGAGCCGTAGGGGCCTGATTCTCCTCACACAGCCACCAGGCTAGCACAGTCAGCTGAGTACAATCCATTAGAGAGAGAACAGAAACAGGCCCATTGTGTCAATCATGTACCACACCCTGTGCCAGAGAGGGACTGTTCATTCATTTCAACACAGGAGCCTGTGACACCAGCTTGGTTGCTTTTCCAGAGACATACCACATCACCAGAGCTCAGTTCAGGGCAGCTGCTGTGCTGGTGACAGGAGCAGCACCTTGCATGGTCAGGTACAGCAAGGAGAGATAGCAAACAGTGACTGGTGAGCCAGGAAACCCTTCAGCATGAAATCTCCCAGCAGGGCTTTTAGCATCATGTTACAATCCATAGTTGTTCATGGACTGAGGGCTGCCATAAAGCTAACGCCCATGCTCACTGCAGAGTGTCCATGGAGCGTCCACTCCACAGGGCCTTGCCCATGGTGCATGCTGTGAAGATGGAAACATCTGCTATCCCCTGGGCTGGCTGATAGGTGAGTAGCCTAAGAACTCATGGAAAGGGCACGATTCTGAACAGATCCTGGGGGTGCTGAGGGAAGCGGGTCGAATGATTCATTGTGAATTTAGCCCTTTTACCGGGTCACAAGCAGTTCCTGGGTTTCTGGCCTTCACAAATATTTGCTGATTAGTTTGGACCAAAGATTTCCAGCTGGGTTGTGAGCAATTTACTGTGACTGGCCACTAGCTGTTATTCGTGGGGTGTGACTGGTCCTTGAAGTCACATGGCATCATTTTGACTCTGATTGGATACCTGAAACTTAAAACAGAAGAACAGCACCCACCACCTAACGTGTCCTTCACCTGCATGACTATCCAGACAAACCCCCCACCTGTGCCAAAATGCATGGTGCCACCAGGACTGGTGTCTTCCTGCATACCCCACTGGAATCCAAATCTTCACCAGCTGGCAATAACGGCCCCACAAACCCAGCATTTTTGTCTGTGAAAATATCACAGCTCTTTGCATTATACAGCCAGCTCTGGTGCTAAGTGCCAGTGCTCCTGCTGGAATCAGCGTGACAAGATCAGGACCTTGAGTCACTGTCGTTCACCATGGTCTGCTGCAGGGTCCTCCTTGTACCATCACATTCCAAAGGGAAGGCCACTCATGGCAGGGCATCCCTCTCGGATACCCCGCACCTGTTTTGCCTCAGCCGGTCCTGGATGAGGTGGGGGAGCTTCTGGACATGTGCTCACTTGCTGCGATGAGTTCCTTTCACCACGTGCAAAGGGTCATACACAACAGCACATTGGTATTTAGAAAAATACAGAAGGAAGCAAATTCCAGTTCCCCCCCTCCCCAAAATCCTCCATTAAATGTCAAGTTCTTGTCCACCCATTAGTCATCAGACAGCAACTACTAACTACCCTGTGTCCCTCAAGTCACGGTTTGATCATTAGGGATCAGGTAGATGTGTATGGGCCATGCAAGGTTCTTATTGGTGCCTCACACTCTGGGTGCTTCCAGCTGAAATGTCCTGTCCTCCAGGGATCGTGTGTGATGCAAGCTCTGAGCCAATGGACGTTTGGCCCTGAAGTCAAGCAAGGAAATGTTTAGATAGAGAACCCCTGGATTTCAGTGGAGACCCTGCAAACTGGGACAGGTAAATGAGCAAGGCAAGTCTTGCTGCTACCAGTTTGCCTAGCAGGGGTTGGGAACCCCCTGGTCAAGCCAGTTATTCATGCTGTGGTTTGCGCCCCACAGTTTGTGAGACCCACTTTCAAACACTGTGTCTATGTTTTGTCTAGAGCAGGGCCTGAGAGGCCAGGGCCACCTCAGGGGTCTGGGCCTGGTGAATCTGGACTTTGCTTTTGAGCAGGTCTCTAGTTTTCCCCTTTGGCGAATGCTGGACTCTGAATGGGGATGTTTGTAATGTGAATGTCTGCCTGCCTTCCCCCACCTGCAGCTGGCCCACACTGTGCTGTGTGTGGATTGTGGATGGTGTCTTTGTGGGTACATCTACACTGGAGCTGGAGAGGGAATTTCTAGCTCAGGCAGCCAGACCTGCGCTAGCTGGAATCGAGCAGGCACACTAAAAATAGTGGTGTAGCCATAGCACCGGGCCTGGCAGGAGGGGCCAGCTATTTTGAGTGCACTGCCATCTGAACCCTAGGCCGGGCTTCAGTGCCTGGCCCCCACTTGACACTGCGGCTACACATAGGCACTAATTTAGTCACTAACACCTCCTGACGTGCCCGGGGCCTGGCTGTGGGGAGCTCCTGGCAGTAGGTTTTAGGATTTACAGTACAATTGGCTAACCTGGCTAGGTTTTGGGGGTTTAATTCTTAGAAATGGAAGGAGAGATTCCAAAGAAAAGCCTGGATAGGGTCAAAGCCCGGAGCACTTCCCATCCCATTAGCACAGCTGTAATGCGCCTGTTAGGACTGTCTCCCCCATGTTGCTGGGGCTGCTAGTGGGAAGGTGCCAGGCACGGACATTGCACACAACATAGACATGAAAGTTACTGCTGTGACTCCGTCCTCTCCAGAGCTGCAGTGCAGGGACAGCACAAGGCGCGTGCACGGCCCTCCTCGTGGGAATTGAACCAACAATAGGTTTGTACAAGCGCCCCTGAAATGCTGGGCTGAGCTGGCTGAGTGTGGGGATCCCTGGAACTGGCTCTCTGGTTTGCGAGCCCTGAGCCCTATTCTAGGAGCTGGTTTGTTGCTTGTGACAATGCCCAAACCGGAGGTCACTCCCAGGCTACCTAATTTGGCTTGACCTCGTTTGTGAGACTGGGCACATGGCAGTGTTTTTGGATGACAAACTATTTAAGCAGGCGACTCAGGAATCACACCATTTGCAGGGTGAATAAACCTTGGTGCTTCAATCCCTGGGACACTGTATCCGTGAGGCATTTCCCGAATGCCTGGCCATTGCCAAATGCCTACCAACAACGGCCCCCTTGTGACAGCTTTGCTTACACAAACAGCAGCCTTGAAATTACCAGGCAGAGTTGTGCTGCACCAGAATAAATAACCCTATCACAGCAGGTCAGCTCTGACTTCGTTGCCCCACTGATTTCCTGTTCCTCACAAGTCTGGCCTGCGCGCAGTCACAGGAAAGTGCGTGGATCTCAGCAGAATCCTGGCTCCCACTACATTCACCTGCCTTGTTTTTAGTTATTACACCTCTACCCCGATATAACGCTGTTCTCAGGAGCCAAAAAATCTTACCGCGTTATAGGTGAAACTGCGTTATATCAAACTTGCTTTGATCCACCAGAGTGTGCAGCCCCCCCCCCCCGGAGCGCTCCTTTACCTACTTATATCCGAATTTGTGTTATATCAGATTTCAGCTGTATTTGAACAACATCCAGAATTCCAGAAAACCTCCCCACCTCTCCCAGCATGATA